ACAAGACTCATCAGGATATTGAATATACTCCAAATCCTTTAACCTTAACATAAAATGAGCTGTTAGCAATTGAGCCAGCTCAGTTCAAACCGAGCTCATGGGGATTCTTATATCAGCAAAATAAGTTAATATCACTGCAAGGAACATGCTCATCTATACAGAGAGCAGACAAGAACTACTCATCCTGGACAGATCACAAATTTACTTAGAGTTAGTACTAGAATGTCATGAAGCTTTGGCCGAAGTATCCATCAACAATATGGTCACCTTAAGATGGATTAAAGGTCACGACACATCGAAAGGTAACCGTCTTGCTAATTCACTAGCCAAGAAGCCAGCCCAACTAAATACTTTTAGGACCTTCCACTTTCATTGGACTGACTACATATAGGTAGTGACAAATTTAATTAAAGAATATTCCCGTGAGATATTCAAGGAAATATGAGATGCAACAAAAGAGGCTGCATAGCTTTTAAGTTATCCCAACAACCAACAACACTATAGAAACTGCGCCTGATCACAGGTATTCTCAATGGTCATTGCCAAGTACGGAATCATCTCCATATCATGGAGCTGTCAGAATCTGCAATGTGCAGGGAATGCGAACAAAAAGATAATACCATCTCGCATATTCTCTTACGATTAGCCGACTCTCTCAGTTAGGGTAGCCACCTTTTTGAAAAGTGAAAAAAGAACTATGATGTTGATAGGGGCTCTGGTATACAAAAGATCCTCATCCTTCAAAAATTTTCCTCAGCATTCTACCGAGCTTCTAAAAAAAAATCCTCTGCTTAAATTCTTGTACAAACCATGACATTTTTATTAAAAAGTCACAACGACATTTTAATTCAAAAAAGGACAGTTATTAGATTTGTGCCTAAGTGCCGTGGTAGGGCAACCTACCCTACACACGTTACAGATAGAGAATCCTTGTAACAAGACTCTCTCATTATAATTTGGCAATTTCTTGGATAACACCGTGTATGCTTGCAATTGCTTTTGTAAACAAAATTAGTCTAGTAGTTGCACGTCGTTGATCTCGACAGAGACAACCGAAATTGCAAAATTTTATAATAAATGGTTGGCAGAACACCCTTTTAAAATATTGGAACATCATTGCGGAACACCTTGTATATTTGGTTAAAACTGTAGCATCAAGAGAGGTTTTAAAATAAACACAATACAGGAATAGGTATTATAATTTAATTACTCCTTATAATAGAAAAAAATTATTAGGTACATATTACAGATTTCGACCTTTTGTTAAGGCATCGTTTTTGTTTTTTAGTAAATTATTTTTTTCGAATTATTTAATAAAATATTTGTTCCCGGATATACAATAAAATGTTATCTATCAAGTCACTCACAAAATAGTTTAACTTTAAACAATTAATTATGACCTATTTAAATATTAAAATATATAGCCGCTTCAATCATATAAAAATTAGCCATTTTATCCTCAAATGAGTATGTTTAAAAATATCATTAAATCCAGAACACAACATTTTGTTTTCTACAATAATTGTTATTTTAATTATGCAATATTTTACCAATTATTTAATATTTTATTAGAAAATTACTTTGTTTGAAAGTTTTAATATTTGTGACTTAATTAAGAAGTTTCTATGTTTTTCAAATTATTTTCTGATTGTATATAATTTTCGTAAAAATGAAATCTATATTTTGGTAGAAGTATAAAAAGGGAATGATTTGTTTCTAACCAATGTTTAGTTTGAAAGATTTTAAATTGAAGGAAAAATATAAATATTGGACATTATTACAACAGAATCCAATAGGGCATAAGGTTAGTACCTAATGTGTGTCAAATTCTGTTTTCTTTTACTGTAAACGTCATAATTTTTATTTATTACTACGTCTACGTATAAAAAATAGCTTATTTCAGGTCTAATTTCAGCAGCCTCGAATATCTACTTATTCTTCAGCCTCCAATGATAGTTTATCCCACCATCATTGCTATTAAACGTAAAATTCATTTTATTTATATTTAGTTTACAAAGTAGCTTCAATTGCGTTAAAATGAACATCTTCTTCAAAAAAAAAAAAAAAAAAAAAAAAAATTAAACAAGGAAGATAAAGAAATAAAAAAATTAAATCCGGAATTCTGTTAAAATAAATAATAGTTTAAAAAACACGATTTAATAGAAAAGCAAACTAAACGTAGAAAATAATTCTCAATAAATTTAAATTAAAAATAGTGTGATTAACAAAAAAATTTCTTTTATGTACGACCGAGCGATAAAGTTCAAATTATAAATACGTTTAGAGCAGTGGTCGCCAACCTCTCAATGTGTTGAGCTACTTTGTTAATTTTGGAATAAACAGCGAGCTACCCACACGGAAGCCACGTAACGCAACGTAAATGAAATAATCCACAGTTATATGTATATGTATTTATTTTACTATTTAACTGGTAATACATAATACATAGGTACTAATAATAAACTAATAACTAATATTACTAGTACGTACTTGTTCATAGCTACATTCCTACCTACCAAACGAAGGTGTTTGAAAAATAAACGCAAACTTTTATCCAGCCACAACGGCATGTCACGTAGGATTTAAAAATAGTTAATAATAGCAACAAAAAAGTAACGCACTATCATGAACATAAACATTGAAAAATAAAAAAGCACGTTCAATGAGAAGGCTGACACTCAGACTCATCGATAATTTTTTTAATGTTTGCAGTATAATTTGATACAGCCATTCGAATACAATTATCCAAATGTTCATCTGTAAGTCGATTGCGATATTTGTTCTTAATAAACTTCATATTGGAAAAAGAAGATTCACACAAATAGGTTGAACTGAATAATGCTTTCACTTTCAAGGCAACACGGCATAGAACTGAATATTTGTCTTTACTAACAATAGGCCAGATACATTTGGTACTTGAGACTAACGATTTTAAGGCTAAATCATTTTGAAACTCAATTACTTCTATTTCTGTTGCAGCGATGTGTTCGCCAAAGTTCTGCATAACACAAGTTGCAAACTGTTGAATATCAATATTTCCATAAAGGGTGAAACAACAAACTGCGCTACTAAAGCCATTTCGTTGAAATCCTTAAAACGATTTTTGAAGTTATTCTTCCGGGTAGAAACTATTACTACATGATATTTGCTGTCGTAGGGTTCTAATGGATTTTGAGATATTTTTTCTGAAAGAATAGGAAAATGCTTGGCATCGCTGTTAATTAGGTTTTGTTCCCAAAACTCCAGCTTTTTGATAAATGCTTTTATATCAGAAATCATTTCCGCTAGTTCTTTGTCTCTCCCTGAAGCTGCAAATTAAGTTCGTTTAATTTCTCTGTAATGTCCACGAGAAAACCAAAATCTCTAAGCCAGATTGAATTTTCTAGTTCCGGAGTCGGTTCATCGCGTTGTTTGAAAAATTGAACTATGCCAGATAGGACATCATTAAAACGTTTCAGCACCCGTCCTCTACTTAACCATCGGACTTCAGAGTGAAGGAGTAGGTCCCCGTATTGACAGTCAACTTCATCGGCCAAGGTTTTGAATAATCTTCTTCGTAACGCTTGAGCTCTAATCTTGTTCACAATTTTTACCACCAGTTTCATAACGTTGTTTAGTTTCAGGAAATTTCCACATAATGCTTGCTGATGGATAATGCAGTGGTAACTGAGAAATTGCGGAAAAGTTTCATCTTTACGACATAACGCCACTAGACCCTTATCACAACCCACCATAGCTGGACCGCCATCGGTTGTCAAGCCTACCATTTTCGATATTGGAATTTTCTCGGAAGAAATAATATTTTTTAAATGAGAAAACAACTACTGTCTAGTAGTGTGTCCTTTCAGTGGAATAAACTTCAAAAGATCTTCTTTAATCGTAAAATCATTAAAAACCATCCTGACGAACACGGCCATCTGAGCAGTGTCAACGACATCTGTTGATTCATCCAGTTGAAGTGAAAAATAAACACAGTTATCTAAGTCAGTTCTTAACTGTAAAAAAATATCATTGTTCATTACTTCTACACGTCTCATCACTGTATTAGCAGAAAGTTGCATAGATTTTATAGCTGAAACTATCTCGTCTTTATTTCTAAAGTTGGCAAATAATGAATCAGCAGCTTCTAAAAACGCCTGTTTTATCATTTCCCCGTCTTCATAAGGTTTCTTTTTTTGTGCAATTATCTGGGACACACGGTACGATGCTTCAGTTGCAGCCTTATTTTTTTCGACTGTTCGTAAACATATTGATTGTTGTCCAATTAACTGCTTTTTTAACTGTTTCAGTTTCTCCTTTCTGGCCGCAGAATGTGGTGGGAATGATTTTTCAAAATTAGAATGTACAGTTTTATGATGTCTCTTAATATTTTCTTTTTTAGCAACGGAGACCGAAGTATCACATAACAAACACACATTTTTATCTTTAACTTCTGTAAAAAAGTATTGTTCTGTCCATTCAGACTGAAAGTGGTATGTCTTTACCTTCTTACAACTGCTTGCCATAATATTATTGTTGTTCTCTACTAACCCAACCGCTGGACGTTGGTTACGCGTTCAGTTTTAAACTAAGCGCAATGTCGCCGCGCCGTGCGTATTTATCCCGTTCAAAGCAATCCTGATCGTTCTCGAATAGTAACGCGCTGGTCCGGCTGGTCGGTTCTAGCCGATTCTAGCTTGATGGCGTCAGCGGCAGATCGCTCACCACAACGTTACCGCTGTTTATGTTTAATATTATGACAATTAGATTTTTTTGTAGAATTTTCGGAAGCTTCTCTGATTTTTGCAGTTTGTATTTTTTAAATTAAAATCGTTGTGAGAGTTACCAGAATTGCCTCTGCGAGCTACCGGTAGCTCGCGATCGACAAGTTGGCGACCACTGTTCTAAAGGATATTAAACAATATTACATTATTTTTTCTTTTCCTTGAAGTGTTTATTAATAAGTTCCTCACTGATTTGATTTGTGTTTTGTAATTAAAAAAATCTAAATATATTTTTTAGAATGAAACATCTGTTGGTGGCCAAATTTATCATGTTAATGATCGGATTGTGGAGGTTACCCTTGGAGTCTTTAACTGACGCTCAGAATTTAATATATAAATGCCATTCCGTCTTTATGCAATCGTATTTCATATGCTTTGTCGTCGCCTTATACTTGGGAATTTTTCCACTTGGAAAGGTCAACATAGAAAAGACTATGGAAGGATTAGCGATAACAATTTTGTGTACAATTGTCACTATAAAAGCTTACATTTGTCAAAGAAAAGGATTTACTGAAATAATTAGTTACATTGTGAACTACGAAAATAAAATTAAAGATCTAGACGAGGAAAATTATATTGTTTACAAAAGTTACGCTTTGTACACAAAAAAAATATGTATCACTCTATTTACATATTCATCTTTGTGTGGTGTAACTCTTGTGATCAGCAAATTTATTCTCTATACTCAACAGTTAAAAAATAATAACGAACTTGACGTCGAAATAGAAAAACCATTACCTTATGTGGTATGGCGACCGGTAGATGAGAAAGACCACTATTTTACTGCATTTTCTCTAGACACTTTATCAGCAATTATTGGCTGCACCTTCAACACAGTTACTCAGTTAATATTCCTTTCGATTATGACTTTTATAGCCGGTCAATTGGAGATACTGCAAAGGCGATTTAAACGTTATGGATCTTTATGTTCCCAACATGATACATTCGAAAAGAAATTCGAAATACTGAAAAGTTTAATTGTGGAACATCAGCAACTCATCGCGTAAGTATTACAGCAAAATTGTAAATTGTTCATAAAAAGATTTGGTATTACAAAAGTGTGAACTGTATTCTACCATTTAATGATGTCCTCTTCAGACTTTCTGTGCCCCAACATTTTTCATAATCCCAGCCAAACATTTAGTTTGTTTTTGGCATAAGTATTTTGTAATGTATTTAACGTGTCATCGAAAGTTAAGCTTGTCGTTTAGCTAGGTACTTAAATTAACTTGTTTGCTGTGTCTTATTTCGCTATCCATAATTCTAATATTTACCTCCATTCTTGTCCTAAGTCTTCTGTTTTTTTTTTAAATCTCTAACCCATGTTTCACCATCCAACTTACAATACGATCCACTGATTCGTTTGCGTGTTAATTTTTTCCACGTCATTTGCATCTACTATAATTGCAACGTCATTCGCGAAAGCAGCTGCTTCTCTCAGTTTAATTCTTAGAACATTATCTTACAATATGTTTCATAGGACCGGGTCTAGAACTGTACCTTGCGATACCCCCGTGGATGTTTTACAGAAATCTATTAGGTATGTTTACTAAATAATGAGATATGTTCCTTTCTTTTAGTTAATATATAATGATATCCCACTGGGCGGTATTAAACGCGTTTTTGATGTCCACAGTAATCAGCCTTTATTAACATCTCTTGTTACTTTCTTTACCTATGTCTTTACTCCTTTCATAGGTTGTGTTGTCAATCCGCCTTTTTTAAAACCGTACTGTCTATTAGAGCCCATTATTGTTTTCAATTTCTTGTTCTAGTCTATTCTTCACAGTGGTCTATATAAAGTAGCTATTTGCTCTGATTTTCTTTCCATAACAACATTAATAACGACTCTTTCCAAATACCTGGGAAGTTTTGCTGTTCTAGAAGCCCATTTAAAGTTTACCTAACACTACAATGTTTATTGCTTCTGATGATAATTTTATCCGGTCCCGGTGCTTTCTTTGTTTTATCGTTTCAACTACTTGCATGAACTCTTCCTTTATGGTCTCTATTAATTTGTGTCTTCTTTGGTCACTGAAAGGAAATTGCTATCTGTGCCACTCAACTTTTTGTTCCAGTGCAGGGTTATATAACTTACTATAACTTCCCAGATGGTTAATAATAATAATAATAATGTTTATTTACCAGCAATATATACATTCAGATACAATAAAATAAAATCCAATAGGAAATAAAATGTAAATAAACAAGAAATGTGTCACTGAATCTGCTCACTGTACAAAGTACAATGACAGATTGTGTGCGACAAAAAACACGACAAAATAAAATAAATAAAACTTATAACAATACAATAGTAAAAATTTAAAAATATGAAGCAATTAAAATAAAAATTTTAAAATTGTGTTTAGTAAACGAATTGACCCATTAATAAATTGATACATTAGTATTGTACAATTAAGGCATTAATCAAATAAATTCAATCATATTAAAACATATAGTAACCCATTTAGTGGTTATATGCAGAGTGTCCAGACCCTACCCACTGGTGGGGACGGTATGGACATAAATAAATTAATAATATCAGTACTAAATAAGCATTATATTTGTATTAAAATCATACCAATAATGAGTAACTTAGGAAGGTATTATAGAATAATACAAAAAATAAATAATTCTGAGCATTCAAACATATTTGAAACAGTAAAAAATATTAAATCAAGTTTAAGTAAAAAAAAATCAATTAAATCAAAATTTAAAAATTTGTATTGTTAAATCCAGGTTAATATTATTAAAAAAGACTGTATTCTGTTAAATCCCGATTAAAATAAATCATGTCTTTGTATCTAGAGCTCCTATCAGCTATAGGATTTGGCAGCTGCACTACAATATCATAAAACGGAACGAAAGATGTAGGCTCTTCGGAATATTTAAATCTGTTAGAAGCTAACTGTTTTTTTAAAAACTTTACATTGTAGCCTCCAAACACTACTTCTTCTACTCTGGCTACAAATTGTCTTACAGACTTTTTACCACAAACTTTGCAAATTAGAAAATGTCCGACCTCCAGATTCTCAGTGTTTTCAGATTCTTCTTCAATTTCTGGTTCCAATTCAGAGGATGAGTCCTGATAACTTAATTCTTCGTCACTTGAAGAAGATGATTCTACAAACACCTTTTTCTTAACCTGTTTTACTTTATTTTTATCAATCTTTGGCTTTGTTATCTTCATTTTCTTTTTTGCAATATTATCTCGTTCCGGTGTGTCTGTAGCAATGATTGATTTTTTTCGGAAAGGACCTCTATTAGCCACAGTAGGGGACTTCCTTTGGGGTGCTTTTGGATATGGCAAAATTTTTGAAGGTGAAACATAACTTTCGTCGTCTGGTGCAGTAGATGGACCCGCTTTTGGATATAACAAAGCTTCAGCTTCAACTTCTTCGGAGGAAGCAGCTTTTGGTGACAAATTCGTAACTGGTATGTCACTGGATGCCGATTTTTCTGGTTCCGATGTAGATACAGGTCTATCAGTTACATAAGAACATAGGAAATCTTGTTCAGTAAATATGTTCTTGTCAAATGGCCATATCCCTGTACATCTAAAGCCAGATTTAATATTACTTGGATTGGCACCTCTGTCCCATGCTTTACAACATATTGCTGGAAGGTCGTATATTGATAGGGTTTGTCCAGGATGAGAAAGCATCCACTCGTCAGCTCCCTGATTAAAGAAACGCTTAAAAGGTCCGAATACTGCTTTATCTAAAGGTTGTAAATGATCAGACGTGTGGGGAGGCAACGTTAAAATTATTATTCCATTTTCTTTACAGTAATCTATCCCAGCGACTGACAGGTGCGATTCGTGATTATCCATGATAAGAACGACATTATGTTCAGCAGAACATCGAACGTGTTTAACAAAATGTTCTAAAACTTTAAGAAAATTGTCACTTGTCATCCATCCGCTCTGATGCACCAAGCTTATGGCACCGTATTCTGCAGGAACATTTTTTAACATTCTATGTGGGTCGTATTTTTTTCGGGGGAATATCCAGACTGGCGGCAGAGTTGTACCGTTTGCTGCAATGATTCCAACTTGTGTTACTAACTCGCCCCTCTCCCGAGAGGTAACTTGACCCACTTGGTGCTGCCCTTTTGTCGCAATTATCTTTTGTACTTTCTGGACTGTAGTAACACCAGTTTCATCCAAATTATAAATATCAGATGCCAAAAACTGGTGTCGTTTTAAAACAGATTCTAATTTGTTCTGAAAGTCACCTACAGTGGTTGGATTGAAGCTTGATATTCTAGCTAAACTGGTTGCTTCCGGCGTTCTTAAAGATAAATTAGGCTGGCGGGATAAAAAGCCAGTAAACCAATCTCGTCCAGCCTGATGATTTTTTTCCCATGCAGGTGGGGTTTTGACTTTATTTTTTTTAGCAAACTCGTAAGCTAACCGTCTCGTAGATTTAGGCGTTAAGCCATGGTACATGTTTGAGCAATTTCTAAGGTAATTAGCCATTGCGGATTCTAACTCTGAAAACACTTGTGTTGTTACATATTGTGGAGAAAATTTTACATTTTCTATTCCGCTTTCCCTGCTTTTCTTAACATAAACTGCTAAAGTTGATTTTCGAACATTATGTTGAATTGCACTCTGTCTTACAGACAGTCGTCCAACAAAACATCTTCTGTGGCATTTTTCATATTTTCCGCAGGAAAAGATCTGTCTGTCACCCTTCGGTATTTCCTAGGCATGTTTCTGAAAAATAACACATAACCATTGATAGAAGTGGGACCTTCTGGACACATACGGGACGGTCTGGACAACTGTCCTGACCCTCCCTCAAGAACACATTAACAAAAAATTATTTGTATTACAAAATGTTTATTAAATCAAATATGAACAATATATCAATATGACCTATAGACTTACCTTAAGGTGTGTCCACAAAATAAATAATAACAAGCTGGAATCAAAATATCCTTTATATTCTTGCACACAAATAATAGGTCCCAACCAGTGTTGCCAGTCTAGTACAATTGTACTAGATCTAGTACATTCACTGAGAATATGGTACTCTAGTACACTTGAAACAATATCTAGTACTTTTTCATGTTTCTATTTGAAATGTAAAATATATTAGTTAAAAATTATTTCAGAGATAAAATAGTAGACATTTCTCGAGAGATAAAACAATTGCAGATATCAAATATTGTTCAAAAATGGCTGAGAGGTAAAAAAGGGTGTTAAAAATTGGTCGAAGTATAAAATAGTATTAGAAATTGCTTGAAGGGTAAAATATTGTTCAAAAATTGCTCTAGGGATAAAAATACTATTAGAAATTTAATGAGAGATAAAAATATTTAATAATTTTTCCAGAGATTAAATAGTATTATAAATTGTTAAAATCGTGTTCAAAAATTGCTCGAGGTAAATAAGTATTACAACATGTTAAATTCTTGTTCAAAAATTGCTCGAAGAATAAAATACTATTGAAAAATTTGTTGAGAAATAAAATATTGTTCAGAATTGACTTAAGAGATACCTATTATTAGAAATTTCTTAAGAGATAAAACATTGTTTAAAAATTCCTCAAATGATAAAATACTATTAGAAAATGCTCGAGAGATAAAATATTGTACAAAAATTGCTCGAGATATAAAACATTGTTAAAATTTTATTGAGAGCTAAAATATTTTTATAAATTTGTTGAGAGTTAAAATATTGTTCAGTTTGCTAATGAGATAAAAAATTTGTTAAAAATTGCTCGAGAGATAGAATAATGTTAGAAATTTATCGAAAGATAGAATATTGTTTAAATATAGCTCAAGAGATAAAAAAAGGTTTAAAAATTGTTCGAGAGATAAAATAGTATCATAAGTTATTAAAATCTTATTCAAAAACTACTCGAGAATTAAAAAATACTGTTAAACATTTCTCGAGAGATAAAACATTTGTTAAAAAATTGTTAGAAAGATAAAAAATGTTAATAAAAATTGATCGAGAGATAAAATAGTGTTAAAAATTATTAAAATTTTGTTCAAAAATTGCACGAGAGATCAAATATTGTTCAAAAATAGCTTGAAAGGTAAAAAGCTGTTAAAAATTGATCGATTGATTAAATAGTGTTAAAAATTGTACAAAAAATGTTGTACAAACATTTCTCAAGGAACAAAAAAATTGTTAAAAATTGGTCGAGAGATAAAATACTGTTAGAAATTTGTTTAAAATTGTTTAAAAACTGTTTGAGAGATAAAATATTATCAAAAGGTGTTAAATCTTCTTCAAAAATTACTCGAGAGATAAAATAGTGTTTGAAATTGTTAAAATTTTGCTCAAAAATTGCACGAGAGATCAAATATTATTCAAAAATAGCTTAAAAGGTAAAAAAAGGCTGTTAAAAATTGCTCGAGTAATTAAATAGTGTTAAAAATTGTACAAACATTGCTCAAGGAATAAAAGAAGTTGTTAAAAATTGCTCGAGAGATAGAATACTGTTGGAAATTTATCTAAAGATAAAATATTTTTTAAAAATAGCTCAAGAGATAAAAAACGGTTTTTTAAAAACTGTTCTAAAGATAAAATATTATCAAAAGGTATTCAAATCTTTTTTAAAAATTGCTCGAGATATAAAATAGTGTTAGAAATTGTTAAAATTTTGTTCGAAAATTGCACGAGAGATCAGATATTGTTCAAAAATAGCTTGAAAGATAAAAAACTGTTAAAAATTACTCGAGTGAATACAGTGTTAAAAATTTTACAAAAAATTTTGTAAAACATTGCTCGAGGGATAAAAAAAGTGATTAAAAATTTCTCGAAAGATAGAATACAGTTAGAAATTTATCGAGAGATAAAATATTGTTTCAAAATAGCTCAAGAGATAAGAAAATATTTAAAAATTGTTCGAGAAATAAAAGAGTATCAAATGGTATTAAAATCTTATTCAAAAACTGCTCGAGAGATAAAATAGTGTCAGAAATTTGTCGAGAGATAAAATATTGTTTAAAATTGTTATGTTTGTGTGCTCGATAAACCTTTTTTTGCTCTTTAATGACCATACTTCATAATTAGAAAAATCTGGTAATTTTATAGAATCTAATACATTTTTATGAAATCTGGTACATTTTTTAGATAAATCTGGTACATTACAAATATATATTCTGGCAACACTGGTCCCAACACTCCCAAATCAAAAAATGTTTATTAAAGTCAAACGCGAAATGTGATTCGTACGGCGTCTAGTCGAGTACTAACTCGACTAAAAATCAAATGTTTTGACGCTACACAGATAATGCACGTGTATTATGACCAGGAAATTTTGAAGTGTCCATACCCTCCCGTCGTCCAGACCCTCACCGCGCTCCCCTACATCTTGGTTTTTATTTGATATATAATTTGCTTCCTTAGATATCTTTCTGTTTGGTTCTGTAATCATTTTCAGATCGATACCTCGCTCTTTTGCCATTGCTTAGAGACTAAGTCGTGAGCAAGTTTGATTCTACATTGGTTAACTTGTAAACATTTCATCGTCTGTTTCCAGTATTTCTCTTCGAGTGTTCCTCCAACTGTTTAAGCTTTTTCTTTTAGACTAAAAGTAGGATCTAGTATTAAGTGTAATATAAACATTAGAAAAAGAAAGAAATGGTATGTGGACAAGTATTATATTAGTTAAAATAATTAAGTCTGATATATGTCTTCCAGATGAGACAACTGAATGATAAATGGAGGCAAGAGGAGACAATAAATCGTTTCTTATCTGTCACAAATGACACTTTCTTATTTTTAGTTATGAAACAAGTGTTTGGAATAGTTTCGTCTACATTAATACTTCTTTACCACAGAAAATAATGGCCCTTATTCGTCTCATTCCATCTTAAATTATTTTAACTAATATAAGTACCTATATGTATATATATATACACCATTTATTTTTTTTTAAATGTAAATTATATTTTAATTCTTAGTATTAGACCCCACTTATAATACGCCCAATTTTAGACACCAAAAGTAGTTATAAAAGTTTATTTTAGTTTTTTTGATGTTTTCTGGCCTTATTCTTAACATTAATATGTACAATTTAAAGACCTGATGACGGCCCTTGGGACAAAACCGGTAGCCTCCATTTACATATTTGATTTTAATAAAAAATATTGTGTGGTACTGATTTTGAATATTTTTATTTTCGTTTATATCTAATAGATATTTGTTTTTCAGATATATAGAAAAACTGGACGAAAATATGAAGTACCTGATTCTGCTGGAATATAGTATAAACTCTTTGTTAATTACATCAGTGCTGTATCAAATTTTGTTTGTAAGAATTATAATTAATTGCGAATATTTGATTTCAAAAACTAATTCTTTAAATTAATTTAACCTAATTAATTGCATAATTTATATCAACAGTAAATGAGGATCTTTCTAGAAAATTTTAAATGAGACACCATATTCTTTCGCTTCTGGAATTTCACTAATATGACACTAACATAACAATAGAGTTCTGTACAGTAGATGCAAGAAGCATCGTCATCATCACTGTAGTCATGAAATGGGTCAGACTCTTCATATGCATCTTCAGTATCGAATTTTACTCTTTGTTTCACAGTTCTGGCTGACTTGCGCCTTTCCTTTGCCAACTTTTCTTCAACTTTCTTTCGAGTTTCCTCAAGAAACGGAGTGCTTGTCATATTAGTGGCTCCTTGAGTTTTCTGTTTTCTTTTGATTTATTTTTCGCGAGTTCCAACAGGAATTGGGAATATTTCTGCTATAGCCTGTCTAGTAGATGTAGTAGGATTTACTCTTGTAGTCGAGGAGACTTCTTGAACTGGAATATTAGAGTTAAGACGCTCAGGTATATAGTAAGTTGACGTTCCAGGCTGAGAGCTACGGGTGATGGGTTTATTAATGGTGGAAATTGGTTTCTCTGGAGTAGAAGGAATAAAATCTTCTGTTATTGCTTGGTTTTCTATGGGAGCATTATTTTCCATCTGAGCATCATTGGTGACGGAATAATTCGTTGTTTCGCTCGGAGCATATTCATGTTCTTCGAATATGTCAGAATTTATAGGGAAAAGTCCACATTTCCCAAAACCACTTGTTGCTGTTTTTATCTTGGCTGCTTTTCCATAGACTACTGCAAAAAGTGAACCAATTTGATACTGAGTAACGACTCTTCCTGGACCAAAAAACGAAATATCAAGTGGCTGTAGCCTATGGGTACAGTGTGGGGGTAGGCAAAGAAGAACTATACCGTTAGCTTTGGCGAATTCAAGTACCTCCAAGTACTTATCACTTGCGTGACCATCGACGATAAGAAGAACTTTATCCTGTATGGTAGGTTTAACACACTGGGAAAAATGCTGCAACCACTTTAAGAACAAAGGTCCGGTCATCCAACCTTTTTCTTGCACAAGTCCTATGGTTCCAAGGGGAGCTCCATCTAATAGCTCATATTTAAAAATTTTCCGGGGGTATATCAGCGCCGGTGGCACAAAATGGCCACCACTGTTACATGTAATCCCCTTTCCGCACTCGTTAATGCACCAACCTGCTTTTTACCGGTGGTAGCAAACATTTTTGGCGGCTTTTGTACAGTAGAAAATGCGCTTTCATCCAAGTTATATATTCTAGTGAAATTAATGTTATTCTCAGAAATAGTTTTGGTGTAAATTTCAAAGAAGGGCTGTACTCGCGGCTTATTAAAACCCATTGCACGGGCAGCACTGGTCGCTTCTGGCTTTTTCAAACTTATGTCTGGATGACGCTTCCGAAAACCAGCTAACCAATCCCAGCCTGCCATTCGGGTTTCATTATTAAATCGATGCTCCAAATTATAGCGTTCTGCAGATTGGTAGGCAAGCCTTCGGAGATCTGTAGCTGATAACCCAAAGAAGCGAGATTCTAAGAGTTTGACGTGATCAATAAGTTCCCTTTCAACATCGGCACTAAATGTTGTTCAGTATCTACCAAGACCTTTATTTCAACCCTGAACAATCTTGTTTTTACCATTTTTATACCGCCTCCGTAACGTTGATTGCGGTACGCCAAACTGAGTTGCTGCCTTTAACCAGCCCATTTCGTTGTTCTCTACTGCTCGAATAGCCTGGCTCATGGATTCTTCACTCCAACTTTGTCTGTTGGTTTTTCTTTTGTATTTGTTGACCATCTGTAAGAAAATTTCAATTCTTTAGAAACAACAGTTTAGTAAACAATTATTAGGGAGTTTATAGGTCAAATAAAATTTTGATAATTTTAACAGCCGTTGTGGTTGTGGTAAATAATCACTGCTACTGCGGACTGATCCTACCAGAGTTTTTGGAGCACACTTGTCGAAATACCAGAACCTGATCTTGTTCTGCTTAAAACAATTAAATTTGGCTTTATTCTATAAAATAAATGACAAATGAATGACATTTAGCTACTGTGCAAATGCAGTAACTACGACAACCACAACAAACATTATTAATTGTTATAAAATAAATACTTCAGCAGAATACAACATTTCGGGGCAAAATGACATAGTATGTCATTTTACCCGGACCAAAGGTATGTCATTTTACCCGCAAAGTCATCTTTTTTAAAACAACAACACTAAGTTTCTATTAACGTAGTTTTTTAAAAACTGCTAAACTCTAGTGAACAAACTTACCTTTTAAAACTCCGTAACAATTCATGCAATTATTGATAAGAAACATTTAATTATAAACTAATAACACATGCACACAAAAAACTTAGGTTGTTATAACCGTCAAGATTTAGTATAATTCTTCCGATATAGTATCTCTCACTAACAGAGGCTGACTGGAGCGTGCCCTTGAGTACGCACAATATATCTGCTAGTGTCTAACACGATTGTGTACGGCAATAGTCGATCTATGTCATTTTAGCCGAGTATGCCATTTTAGGCCAACTTCCCCTACTACAGACTCATCATCTGCTAATAACATCTCCAAAATTTTATCATCGGTTAGACCTCGTTTATAGTCTATTTTTATGTATGAGAGAGTATTAAAATAATAGAGCGTTCGTAATCCATAGGCGTATCACTTATTTTAGTATACACTTATATTTTCACCTAATTAACCTGCTTATAACTTCTAAACAGCTGAAGGTTAAAAAGTGCAATTTTTTCTAAAATGTTTTATTTTTCCACAAGGTATGTTAAGAACATTGTGTCAAACGGGTTATGTAGGTATAAGGGTTTAAAAGAATTATTTTTTCTTGAAACTTCTCCCTTTATCTGTGCCCATATCAGTTCAATCGGGTTTACTTCGCAATGATATGGTGGTGATCTAACCACCGTCATCCCACGATTTTTTGCAATTTAAACAATTTCATATTTTTTGAATTTCTCTTTATGATGGGAACACAAATGATACAGTTTTTTTCTCACAGAACCGGAATGGAACTTAATATTCTTTGAATTTAGCCAATTCTGTAAATCTTTTTTTAACCACTTGGTTATGGGCACTTTTTCTATAAGTCTCGAGTGATAACTTGCATTATCCATTACTATTATACAGTTCTGAGGAAGAAGATCTATAATTTGTTCGAACCACTCTTTAAAGACATCAGCATTCATGTCCTCATGGTAGTCACCGGTACGAGTAGATTCAAAAGTCAATAAACCACCTTTAACAAAACCGTTTGAACTACCGATGTGTACTATTATTAGTCTGCGCCCCTTTCCTGATGGTGGATTTAAACCAGTAGATAAATTATTTAAAAAAGCCTGTCTTCGTTGATCCATGTTTCATCTAAATAAAATATATTTCTTCTTTGGTTTCTCATTTCTTTTATAGTCTTTAGGTAATTTCTTCTCCATACTACAATATCGCTTCTTTCTATTAAAATAGACTTGCTTTTTCCATAGAAAACCTATTTCTTTTAAAAGTTTCCATAGTGTGCTTCGACTCATTTCAGGGTAATCCTTATCATCTCGAACCGTGGCAAGAACTTTGTCTACTGTCGGAAATTCTTTTCTAAAGAAGAACGCATGCACTTTCCTTCGAAGTCTATCTTTCAAAAGATTTTCTAATTGAAATTTTGGTTTTCCTGGAGCTTTACGTGCTCTTTGAAACTCGCCACATTTCTCTTCTTTAACAACTCTGTAAATCGTAGATTTCCCAACACCAAGCGTACTACTAATTAATTCCACTGTGTCATCAACACTTTTACATAAATGTTTGTCTGTAAATGATTTAAAACAATTAAATATTAATGTTTTTTCATTAACTGTTAAAGGACCGATTTTTTGTCGTTTACGCGGCCCTTCCAAATTTTCCATGATCACACTAGAATTCACACTGCACCTTGCAAGTTGCAACTAAACGACATTTAGTAAACTGTCAAGAATACACAACTTGGACCTCCTTACTAAATGGAAAACCTATAATCGCATTTTCGGTGAAATTTGTTGGGAAGGTATTTATCTACTTATAATTCGATTACTGTAAGAAATTCTTGGAATTAAAATAAAACAAAATTGGCAAATAGGTACTTATTGAAAATAGTCTTAAGATACGGCTATGTAATCTTTAATACACAGGGCTTTTGGCCTGTCCCAACCTTTTTTGATTGTTCTGTATAGCTTATGTTTATAAAGGACCAATAAAAGACCCAAAACTTGTAATAGCTCAGGTACATTTATTACAATTTTAGGAAATATTTAGATTATTCTGTAAAAATATTTAAAATGACTGTACTAAGTTTTGCATTAGAAATGCTGTTTACTCTCTCATACATAAAAATAGACTAAGTAAATCGAGATATATATTTATCCCCCATATTTGATTGATTATAACTGCAAATAAAATATGGAAATATAAAAATCTAGGTGACGTCTGGTAACTTTGCCCACGTTTGAGGACAATTTACATTTTCAGATACAAAATCTGTTGTGAAGTATATAATCACATATTTAATTATAATCTTACCTAACAAATCAAGCACTTTTTCACAAAATAATAGGTATTATTTACTGAAGAATCTGCGATTCAAATTCAAATGTTTTGGTTACCAGTTAATACACCAGAACGTTCGCTATTCATAAAATGACAAAATTTCGTCGTTTAAGCAATAGATGGCGAAACGTCAACCATGATCTTTATGAATGATGCCTTTTCAGTCCATTGTAAAATATAAACCATAATATAGAAATTTGATCTTTATACAGTTGATTGAAAATGGTGGACACGGTGACTGAACGGTTTAAAGAGACTGTTTGAAAATTATAAATTAAACAGAATAAAACTTTGTTGGTTATGTTCGTTTGTCTCCACAATTATTAATATATTTTATTTTTCAGTTTAAGGTTGATGCTAGAATTCTATTTAGCGTAACATATTTAGGTTGTATGTTATTCCAAATGTTTTTATTAGCCTATCATGGAAATGAAATAAAAATCCAGGTAATTTTAATTAAATATTAAGGTGATTATAGCACCCCTTATTTTCGGACAATCATATCTCAAAAAATATATTTTTTAAAAAATTAAAATTTTGGCAAAATAAACCCAGACAGCACACCAAATCCTTTGGATATCTACTGAACATCTCAATATCCACTGAATGTCCAGTCCATGGTGGATATATATTTTATATCCATGAGATTTAATTTATAAATATGCAAATAAATAATAGTAATTATATAGCAAATTATTAAAAAATAACGCCATTGTGCTCGCCATTGTGGCTAATAGTACCGTTCAGATATTTAAAATTAATTTTTTTAAGGTGTATTCAATATCCCATGGACATCCAGTAAATATATCAAAGTATAAGCGCGAACGCAAACCATCGTGGATATCCACTAGATGTAATTTTTGATTTTGCTTACCAAGTATAGATGGCGATACCACTTTCGCTCGTGCTCATGCTCAACCCGCCGTAATTGAGTTCGATCGAAATTTGTAGATCAGTCAGACTCCATTAGAGACTGGAGTCGATAATTTCCATTTATTGCTGAAGAGTCCTAATAAGGATGACTTTCTCCTTAGTGGGCAAAATCAAAGGCAGAGTGTGAAAAATATTTTGAGTGTTAAAATATTTTTTATTTCTATTTTCTTTCGACGTTATTCAATAATCATTGGTTACTTATGAACCTCTACTAAAGATACCCATAAAATAGTTTGCTAAATATCCGAATATCTTCTATATCCTGGGATATAGACGGACATTTGGTTGGATATCCATATTGGATATCCACAAAATATATTCTGTGGATATCTCTGGGATTTCTTGTATTGTCTGAAAGATACCCATTAGATATTTTGCTGGATAACCATAAGGATATCTTCTATATTCTGGATATAGACGGACATTTGGATATCCATATAAGATCCACGGAATATTTCTGATAACTTGTGGATATATTGGATATGCACAAAAGATATTCTGTGGATATCTCTGGGATTTGGTGTGTTGTCTGGGAATGAGACAAAAATATCTAGAATATGCATATATTTTTAAGTTTTAATTCCTTCCAGTTTCCAATAAAAAAATGAAAGAGGTTTAAATTTTGAAATATCATAATGAAAACGAATGCATTCCTTAATAGAACTATTCTTAATATAATTCTTAAATTTAAGCTCTTAATCTCTTTTTAATGATTTTTTAAAATTCGCCGAAATTAGTGGCTAAAACGCGTCGTTAAGTGCTGCTTCCTGGTGTAACTCGTCTTTAACTATCGAATCGTATACTCTCAATCATCATACGTTTCTTGCAACGATTTACACCGATTTACACCAATTTACACCAGTTTACACCAGTTTACACCAGTTTACACCAGTTTACACCAGTTTACACCAGTTTATACCAGTTTATACCAGTTTACACCTGTTTACACCAGTTTACACCAGTTTTGACCAGTTTTCACCAGAATATACCAGTTTATACCAGTTTATACCAGTTTACACCAGTTTACACCAGTTTACACCAGTTTACACCAGTTTACACTAGAAGATAGCACTTAAAGAGGCGTTTTAACCATTATTTTTGGCGAATTTTAAAAAATCATTAACAATTATAGTACCCAATAGACATGTACATTTTTAATAGGTATATCTTTTAAAGTATACTCTTTGGAGGGTAGCTCAATGGTTTAAGTAGGACCTTTTCAGCTATAGTCCAGTAACTGAAGGGTCAAACCTGTAGAAAATTCGCTGATGAGTTTCCACATAGCGCAATTTGTAGGTCATCGTAGGTGTTTTTAAACGAGAAAATCCTTAACGCGTTCTTGGTACCGCAAGGGGCAGAAAATGGACCCCTAAAACCTGGAAAATGGGTTTCCAGCTAATATCTGACTGAATATGCCAATTAGAGAATTTTTGTTCAGACACAAAATGAAGATCAGTCCATTATCTACAAAAATAGCCCCTATGATTTTCTTCGAAAATTCAATAGTTTTCGAGATAATGGCACTCAAAAGTCCTCTCATTTCAGCTGCTGCTCTACCTGCAGGAATTCCGCTTTCTATATGAATTAACGTGAAAGCGGGCGAACGAATTGTTCCATACCTCGGGAAAAAATTGACATTTTTCGATGATTCAAAGTTCATCGCTATTATAAAACCCGTAGCTACAATTCCATGTGACTTAAAGTCAGTTCGTATTTGCCAAAAATATTTAAAAAAGCGGTCAAATTTTTTTCAACAATATTTAGAGGCTGCTTCATTAATTTATTCATATTTTCTTTAAAAATAGTCATATATTTTAATTTTGCCTTTATAATGGGACCTTGGGGGTCTTGAATGATCTCAGAAATTTTTTTGTAATACTTTTCTTGCGTTTTAATACAAAATTGATTTGTTTATTTACATGTTTTAGCCGATTTCGGAGTTCCATAGAATCTTCGGAACAAGCGCGAATTATAATCTTATGATCCGTTATATTGATTCCCAATGTACATCATTTTCAAGCTTAGATGGTCTACTTTTTGAATATATTTTTTTATTTTTAATAGAGTCTAATAATTTTCAAGAAATGAGGAAAATTGATCACACGAGTGAAAAACGGCCTTTTTTTGTTTAACCATTTCTTGTTTCCCGCTCTTTATTTTTTGAGGATTAATAACTAGATCAAAGTAAAGGTTGTATTCTGACCTTTCCATTGATATAAGTCAATCCCCATATCCGTTCTTGGTTCTAAAAGGTTGTGACAATTATATACTTCATTTTTACACTCTTTCTCTGAGATCCATGATATTGTATATAACCTAACCTCGTGTACCCACGCGGCGATAGTTGTCTGCATGTGTTTGTATACAATCTCTGTTTTGGAGTTGTAGGCTTGACCGAATTATTGATGTACTAATGATATTTTTTCATTATTTAGTTTGAATTATTTATTTAAAATAAAATAAATATTTTTCATTAAATTTATTCAGTTATAAAAAAAGAAGAACTACAAAAAAGTATTCAAGGATTTTTTTGTTGGAAGCAGAAAATAAGGTTTGTTTAATTTTGCCTCAACTTTAAAAACTTGGTGTAATTGTTCTAACGATTGGATCATATATTTTTTGGTAGCTCTTGGTGATGATGAAATGGAAGCGGATTCCGTTCCAGAATGCTTTCTTTGTAAGGAGGGTATTGTGGATGACGGTGTAAATGTTACTCGTGGTTTAGAAAATTTAATTTCCTGAAGAATTAGAGGTGAAAGTAGAAATAGAGGTGGAAAAGAGACAGAAGGGTTGCCAAGCGAGGAGGCGGAAATACAGCTGGAGGAAGAGAGAAAGGACGACAGGGGGAAGGGTAGAAATGGAGCAAGAGGGAGTAGGCGATGAAAATTCCGTTGACGATGAAGAATATGTATATGATTCTGATGACTTGGAGTGGTTGACCACACCCTAAAGGTTGTTATGTATGTTTTATATCCAACTAATTCTTCCAAATAATTGTAATTTTTCAAAGACTTGCGTATTTTTACTGAAATCCTGCACCTATATTATTCCAAAAAAATATTTGCAAAAAAACGCAAAAATGCGAAAAATGTTTAGAATGGTTGTATGGTTAATATTCACCACGCTCTAAAAGTTGTCATTTGCTTTTAGCCAAAACAACGGGATTCAAGACCTTGGCACAAGGAAAAATAAATTTTTGCATTTTTCTGGTAAATTTGCAACTCAAATTGCACAGAACATTCGCTAATACAATTGAGAGAGCCCAAGCGCTACTTTGCAGAAAAAAATCAGGTGAAGTCCGCCAGTAATGATTATTTCCGAGATTTTCATTTACGGGACTCCGTAATTTAGCGAGAAGAGCAAAGGTGCGGGCGCCATCTGCAATTGGTCTCTAAAGTCCAAAAGATGAAGATCAATGCATTTCCAACCCCATCGAGCGGAAATTCGGCAAGAAATTATCATATCTATTCAATATGAAAATTATGGATTTTTCGAAGTCTGATTTTGAAAAAAATATTGGCATTGCGAAAAAATTGGTAGGGATATTTTTGTAGAGAATAAGCTGATCTTCATTTTTTGTCTGAACAAAAATTCTCTAATTGGCATATTTAGCCAGATATTAGCGGGAAACCCGTTTTTCAGAGTTTAGGGGTCCATTTTCAGCCCCTTTCGGTACCAAGAACGCGTTAAGGATTTTCTGGATACCTGCGATGACCTACAAATTGAGCTATGTGGGAACTCATCAGCGATTTTTTTACAGCTTTCGATCTTTTCAGTTTTTCATTTACTGGACTACTATGATACATTACAAGTTGTTCGATTAACTTTAGCATTTTCTCTAGTCTACAGCAGGCTTTGTATTTTTTTTTCTGTTAGTTACTAATTTAAAATTTGTCACTTTTATTCTTTTGAAGATTTAAATTAAAATTCGACTTTTTCCAACAACTCGGAAATGTAATTTTCATTCAGACTAATTACTTTATAGCTGCAATTTGGGGTAATTAATTTTATAGTTTAAAGAACTTGTGACAATTTTGTGCCGAAACATTTTGTTTATATTTGAAGGGTTCACCCGTGGGGTAAATATACGACACCCTACAAATCTGACGAACCTGGGCCCGTTGTTGGTTTGGGCCCGGCTCGTTATATCTATATGCTTCTTTATAAAACTAACGCTATATCGATTTATTGAATTAAACTTTTTAAAACAAGTTCTTATAAATTTCTAGAGTATAGGAGTATCGCAAGCTGTATACGAAAGCGAATGGGATGACGTTCCGGTAAATCTAAGACGTATTTTAATGCTGGTAATGATAAGAGCTCAACGACCGTTAAAAATATCTGTTGGACCATTTTTCATATTGACAACTGACACAGCAGTAACGGTAGGTTTATTTTTTTTTTGTGAAATAATTACTAATGTTAAAATTCGATCTATTTTTAGTCAGTGAAAGCTGCTTATTCGTATTTCACACTGCTGAAAAATGGCGAAGGAAGAAAATAAAGCCATAACATTTATAAAAATTGTTTGATAAATTTATTTATTAGAAAGATTTTCTTTTGGGACATGGATCAAAATAGCACCTATAAATAGACAAGGATTTCTCAACACTATTTTAGTTAACTTATAAATGCAATATGTATATTAAGTGAAGAGATGTTTCATCTCTAATAAAAGATCTAAACTACTTATTAAATGGTTTAATTCATGATAGTACTCCCACTGCTACCGACTACCAGAGCTGAGGTACTCAGTACAAAAACGTACTTGAAATAAATAATCAGTATTTTTTTACTTTAAGTATTTTACTTAAAGTATTTATGAACTAACGATTCTTTTGGAAATGTACTTATTACATTTGGAAAAAAGTACTTATACTTAAATTAACGCTTTTCTTGTATTACTTGTTACTTGAAAAATGTACTGGAAAATCCGAATCTACTTAAAGTTTTTTCTAAGTAGGTAATTTTTAACAGTAAGTACTTAAATGGAAAATACTTAAAGTACTTTTGAAACTATTTTAAGTACATATTTACTTGAAGTACAGTGCAACCTCTTTAATCCGAACACCTAATTGTCAGACCTTGTTCGGATTATAAAATTGTTCGGATTAACGAATATATAATAAAACACCTCTTACACATTTTTAGACCTTTAGATCTAAGTATGTATATTGAATTTGTACATTTAAATGCATTATCAAACTACATATAGGCGATGCAGGCCGTGCTGCAGGTCTTTTCCTGTCAGCGTTCGGATTACAAAGGCGGCGTTCGGACTATCTCGCATCACGATTTGCGTTCGGATTAGCGTGGGTTCGGATTATCGAGGTTGCACTGTATTGTATTAAAAATACTGCAACGCCAAACAAGCTAGGACCCGCATTTCATATTACCCGGACAGTAAATAGTACAGTAGGTACAGTAAACACGATCAAATAAATCAAATCTTTACGACACACGACGTCTAACGTGTGCTGATGCCGGACTTGTAGTTCACCGATACCTAGGTACTAATAATACTACTCGTAATAAGAGTAATAAGCATACAGTCCTAAGATAGTATATAGTCTACAGGTACAGACAGTATCTGAAAATAATTGTGTATTAGATAGATAAGTCAAATAATATGATACCTCTCTTTTTGTTGGGTTCTATCTCGTATCTCAATGTTGTGAGCGAAATGCTTTGAGAAATTAATTTTTCACATGTGTAAAAAACCTGTTTTGTGTATCTATGACGATATGAAAATGTTTTTTTAATAGTTGTAAAAAAAAATATTTTTTCTACACTCACATGGATATTAGCTTATCTACGCACAGACTACAAAATGAAAAGGTCTGTCATTGCGTTCAACCGAACGAATATATTTCATATCCATTCTAGGTAGTGAGAATACTGCAAAAAAAAATGATATCCACCAATCACAGTTCATATTTTCGTTAGTGGGTGGTAGAAAAAATATTCTGTACAACTCGAGTGGATTGTCCATATCGCACTCAGACAATTGAGCACTCTATCATATCCACTCTTGTTGCACAAACTACTATTTCCACACAGCGTGCGGAAAATTCAACTTCCAGCACGCATTTACGTGCGTAAAAAACGTTTTTCCGCACGCAAGTAGGAAAAATATATTATTGCAGAATTCTATAAATTTTTCTATAAAATCAAGAATCTTAATCGGTTTACTTCGAGGGTAAACGGCATTATGGTATGGTACTTTTAATTATTGTATATATGTACAGTTCATCAAATTTCTAGAGGCTTTCGACGGCTAGACAGAGAAAGTACTACTGACAGGCATCCCGACGGATTTACGCAATGAAAGTACACTCTGCGCATCAAGTATTTCACTATTTCATTCAGACGTAAATGTCAGATGTAAATTTCGCTAAAACATTTCTTTTATTTTCGTTTGTGTTTTTTGCTCATTACAGTTTAATAGAACCTAAGTATGGAGTTTAATAGCAAATTAAGAGGCCGCGTGATTAACAGTCAATCTCGCGAAATAATAGCCAATGTTATAGAGTTTATGAAAAGAGAAGGAAACTTTAATTCACCTTCAATACCATTTAAAAATGTAAATGATCGTGTTGCTGCAGCCACAGGAGTATCTAAAAACACTGTCATCCGCATTTCTGGAGAGAAAAAAAATCGATAACCGTGAGATATCGGAATTTTCATCACCAAGAAAAACCATTAAAAAACCAAAAACAGTTAATGATATAGATGAAGCTGCACAAGAATCAAATTTTATTTTTTTATTATTAGATAGCTATTTTTGTTTCTGAGTTGTGTTCATTTACAGGCTCAATTTTTTTCCGTTTCTCCTTTTTGATTTTATATGGGGTTTCAAGTTGTTTTTGACTTATTTCGACGTAAATCACAACAACACACTTTTTTAATAAAGCAAACAAGTGTTAAGAGGTATATGTACGTGTAAACTACAATTACAAAAAATTGATATGAAACCCGTGAAACCACCAACAAAAATGTAAAGCTAGCTTCCGTACTAGAACATGGTGTCATTCGTCGAGATAATTTATCGTTTTGTTCAATAGGTCAAGAAATGTAAATATTCTCCTGTTATTTTTTATAAAATTATAAGAGAAATAAATTTTTTTCTAAATAGTATAGTTTATTATTTTGTAGAAAAACAAAATTTCGAAAATTTTAGTAATGTTTCAGAAACAACCGTTATTAATAATAGGTACCATTTTCCTTAATAAGGTAGAAATAAAATATAAACTATTTACAAAGGCCTACAAAAAAATTATAGGTATTTTCCGCTATCCTATTAAATTTATATTTTCTGACTCAATTTCAAAAGGTTGAAGGAATTCCAAAACACCTTTTATGGCATAATAATTATTTTCAATTCTACATACTATCTTTAGCTGCTTTTAAAAACGTTCTAAGAAAGTCCAATCAGACCAATTTAATCCCTAAACTATTCCACACTTTTAAAATTTAATTACCTAAAAATATTAAAAACTATTTAAAATAACTTGTTTAGCAGACTGTACAATAGCTATCTTAGTCACACGTAGCGCGTTCTCCGTCTGGGCGTCGACCTCTAGAAATTTGATGAACTGTAATATCTACAACTTATAGGAATCATGGAAGTTGAGCATGATTTATTCGAGGTGACTTCGGCTTCGCCAGAGGACCCGTTCCAAATATCAGACGACGATGACCCAAGTTAGACTCCAAGATACCCAAAAAAAAGTTTTTGTCGGATTATTTTGGAGTAAGGAATGAATTCATAAGTCAAATTTTACAAATTGAAGTCAAAAACCAAAGCAGTTTAGCGATGGTCAAGATAATTTGCTTACCTAAAAAATACAAAGCAACCCTCTTTTAGATGGAAAGTTCTATGAAGTTGTTGGAAAATATATAATTTATTTCATCATGTCATCATGTAACAAGTAACGATGTAACAAAAACGCCGAGTAAAACTCAAGATTTCAATTATTTTAATAAACCAACTATACATGGTATATTGTATGTTATACACATACAAACATATTGGATGGCCATTTTTATTGGTCATGTCTAAACAAAATAGTGGTGTACTTTATTAATTTATACAAAGCTATATATGTTAAGTTTTAAGTTGATAACTCAAGAGGAATCTTTAATTTAATATATACTTAAAACATGATTTAAGTAATTAGTATTTCAAAATACTGAATCTTTAAAAGTACTTTAAGTATTTTTAACATATTTTCAGTACATAGAATTACTTTAGTATATTGAATTTACTTTAAGTATTTTTAAGGTATGTACTTGCTACTTATACTTGAATTATTCGTTTTAAGTAAAATACCTAATATTTCAAGTACTTTCCTAAAATACTTATACTTAATATTGTAAGTAGATTTGGAATTTAAATTACTTAATATTGGTTACTTGAAGTACATTTGCTAAATACTTATCACAGCTCTGCCGACTACCAATAAAGAAATGGCAGGCTCGTGGTGATTACGAAAATTCTGATATAAAAAATCAAAAACATGTTCAATCTGAATATAAAAAGCAACTGGGGATTATAGTGGACCAACCAAAGCAAGGAGCTGGTAGTTCGAATGATGGTAATTGTGTCAGTGATTTTTTCCTAAACTATGTTCTATCCTCAAAAATTACTGGATTGGAGGAAAGCTTAATATACAGATTTTACGTGATCCTTCAGCAAGCGGTTTCAATGATTAATTCAGAAAAATTCAAAACTTACTGTTTAGATACCGCTAAGATGTGTATATTTCTTTACCCTTGTTATAGAATTCTTGTGAGTGTCCATAAAATTCATTTAAATGGGCCTGCAATTATAAATGCTTCACCTGTTCCCATTGGCCAGCTCTCTGAAGAAGCACAAGAGGCGCGCAATAAGTAATATCGGTGGTACAGGGCGCATAATTCACGGAAATGCGACAGAACTTTAACAAACAAAGATGTGTTTAACAGTCTATGTATTTCATTCGATCCAGTTATAACCAGCCTAAGAAGAAAAACTGTAGTTAAGAAGAAGTGTTTTTCTCTAGAAGTTCTTAGTCTTTTAGAGGCACATTCACCAAATACGCTTTTGGATTCTTCATCTGAGAGTGATTCTGATTAGTTTTTTCTTAAGGTTTCATAAAGTTAAATAAGGTTTTTTAATTTTCATGAATGTAATAAAATTCACCATATTGTTCATTTGACAAAATATTCATTATTGCATAGTACTTGTGGAAAGGGATTTAAAGTCAGTATTTGTTCACGAACTACTGGAAGCAACCCTTTAAACGCAAATGGTAATCGATAATACTAGTTCAAGCCTTTTAGTCTCATCAGGTCCTTTTTACTTCAGTTCTGTAGGTTACGATTTTTGTGATGTTTTGTTTATCTAAAACAATCAATAAAAATGTTTCCTTTCTCGCACAAACTGTCAAGTTCGAAGGTTCGCACGAAAAATATCTATCAAAATAGCTTGCTTAGGCTTAAATGGAAATATTATAGCGAGAAAAAATAAAATAAAAATTGCCTCTAATAGTTTTTCCACAGTTAAAGGTGACTGTGTGTCGGTAACTACAACTGTATAGCCTGGCTGATGAGCTAATAGGGGCTTATATATTTAGAGGCCCAATGACAAAGCAGCGCAGAACGAAATAACGTAGGACAAAATAGAGCAAAACAAAA